ACTCCCCTTGCTCTAGCATTGAGCAGCTGCAGAATGAGTCAGATCAGCTTATCTGGCAAAAAAATAAGGGTATTTTTGGTTGGTTAGCAATTCTGACCATTCTATGAGCTGATTCAAAGGATCCAAATCATTCTGTGGCCACACAACTGCTTCATATACAAAGGAGACACAGATCTGGAAAGGAGGGAGAAAAGCCTGAACCTTCCCTTTCAGCAGCATCCTACAGTTGAATAGGTGAAGTGTATGTGAAACTGCTTCCTAAGGCTGTATTTCCCTGGCAGACTAAATCATCACAATTCCCACTGTTACCATCCCAGCCACATGCTCCTGCTGCTCTTGCTCATCATACTCTTCTCTGAAGTGACCCTATACACCAAGTTGATGGAAAATTACCCAAACGAAAAGTCTCCCCTTGCCCTTTTTTCCCCGTTCCTCCTCCACTGCCCTGGTTCTCATCTGTTCACATGGTAAGATAACGTACTTGGCTTACCCAGCAAACAGACGTTACTTTTTTGTCAGAATTAATTCTCTGCTGTTTAGAGTGCAGAGTTAGCCCCAGGCACATGTTTTCAAGACCAAGAGAGAAACAGAAAAGGGGATGGTGAGCAGCTGTTTGTTTAGTTCAAAGGTGTAACATCAAAACCACAGGCCCTTGCCACTTCACTCTGAAGTCTGGCAACTTAAATTCAACCCACCTCCATCAGCAGCATGAGCTACAGAGATCGTATTTGCACCATAGTGGCTCAGGAGTACTTGGATGTTCTCTACTCTGGGGATGGGAGCACCAGCAGCGGTAACGGGGCAATACATTCATAAACTACAGAAAAACTTTTTCTAGAACATAAATCTGGCTGCCCTAAAGACAAAATGTAACTTCACAGCCTTTCCTAGGCTTGTCCAAAGTTTAGAGAAAACTTGGTATCAATTTAAAGATGGAAAAACTACAGAGTCATCACAAAGGCTGAAATATTTTCAGTCTTACCACTGAAACAGGCTCCATGGCTTCTTGCTTGATAGGGACTGGGTCAAACATTAGCATCTTTTTTATTCACCTGTTCTGATGCCTCTGATGTCCTGGCCTGCAGGGGAAAGACAAGGTGTTAGAAAGCCACAGGAATCCCCCTAATCAACTTTCTGAACTGTAAAGAACTTACTATTTTGTCAGATTAATGTGAATATTTATCCATCTCTAACATAGCTTCTTAAATATTTGGCTGGGCTTCATTTAAATATTTCAGTTACTGTAAGTTTCTTCTTTTCCAGTTGCTATTGAAACAAAGGGACATCTGCTCACTTTAATGAAGTTAATTTGAATTTTTATTGTGTATGTCAGCTTACCAAGAGCACAGAATTGTCACTTTCATTAGCTGTCACTAGTATGTAAACACATCACAGCTTAAAATACGCATTTCTCATCAGCATTATAACTTCAGAATAATCTTGTTCAGCTGGTAATACAGTGAACCAATTCTGGAGAGGTATCTCTTGTCCTGATAGAAGAGTTGAAACTTTCACATACAGTGTTATTGAAACCAATGCAAAAAAAAGATTAAAATCCAGGACTAATTTGGAGAGGTACGGTCAACATGCTGCAATGACTTAACCTAAAAAATACATCAGTTATTTCCCTGAGATCACAGATTTAGTGATAGTCCAACAACAATTAGTGCTAAATGTTCAAAAGAAAAGCACTTCAAAAAGTCTGGTTGTATTCTGTGCAGTTTCAGCTGTTTTTTCTACAGAGTGTTCAACCTCACTTGTCCAATTCTAGCTTATCTCAAACTGCCTGAAATAAAAGTATTTAGCATAAAGGGTTTCTTAACTCAACTATCATGCTACACATTTGCCATGGTCAACTTGGAAAGATGCTGTGAAGGAAAGGAGGAGATACCTCTTCTGGGGTAAGCCATAAGGGTACAGAGTGTAAGCCAAAAGAAGCAAAGGGAAGTTGTTCTCAATGACATTTAGATGTTGGCAAGCTTTATAAATCACTTGAGGTTATACGTTGTATGACTGAAGTTAAAGGAGCAAGATCTGACCACTGTACAGTGCACAGCCCTGCCTGGAAGTGGCATGATCTCTATTAAGTTGGGAAGACAAAAAAAAGAAGTTACACAAATTCAATTTTGACCAGTAGATGGCACTGGAAAGAAACGAATACAGCCTGACTACACCATCCAGACAATTTCACCCTGCTGAATTAGGCTAAAGGCTCAACAATGGATTTGTAGTTGGGGCTGGAAAATTCTCCCAGAACTTTAAATGTAAATTTAAAGATGTACCTGCTCAAATTAAAACAATTCTAATAAGCCTATGCTAATGAAAAATCTTGCAATTAACTATCACGTGTGATTATAGATAAAAATTTGTCAACAGCTTCCAGAGAAAGATGGCATGAGTTGTTACAAGTCTATCATTAATTATTCAGGTATATGAATAAAGTTTAAAGACTTCTGGAAATATATTGTAACAGTGTACATTTTGAATAATGGAAACACACAAGTATCAAAAGTTAATTAAAGTATCTTTGTAATTCTTCTTACAAAAGTCAAGGGCCCAACAAAACCAAATCACAAAAAAAGAAGGAAACAAATAGAGCAGCTCAATGCAAATTACAGTTTAAACTTCACTTGTAGTTTTGTTTTAGAAGCAATTTTTGTGCAAGATGGCACTATTTGCTAAAAGTTGTGATAAGTTTGTAAATACTTTAGGTATGTTTGTGAGAAGGTTATTAACTGTACTGTTTTTCTTTGAATGGTTATCTTTTTCAGGTTTTTAACATTTGACATAGCTAGGACTAACATTTCAGAAGACTGCATTCCCAGAAATCTACCCATATATCTATGCATTAAATATATATATGTGTTTCTATGCATTATTCACACACGTTCTCACGTACATATATGCATTGTAAAAATAGAAAAAAGTTATACTTTCAGACATAAAAAATGCTTACAGTAAAATGTAGCATCTCAGACCTCATATGTACGAATTTGGAACTACTTGCTTTCAGGTTTCCAGAAACTTTCAATTTTTAGTTTATATGTGCATAGATAAAGTGACACACCAATCTGTACTTTAGTGAAGGAAGAAAGGGAAGAGGAGGAAGAAGAGGAAGGAAAGAGAAGGGGGGTGGGCAGGGGGGAGACGGAGAGAATTAAATAAAGAGTTTGTTCTAAGCAAGCAGTAACGGTCCCAGGCTACTCTTTTTGTCATTTTTGCTGTTTAAAATTGGATTTTCTTCAGTTTAAGAGTTACTCCATTTCACTTTTTATTTCAAGAAAGTGTGTGAAAGACACTTGATACATATTTCACATGTCATGCTATACATTTGAGCATTTCCTGAGAGGGCTCTAAATTACTGTGCAGGAATTAGACTGACAGAGACAACAGAAAGTGTAATGCCCTGAATAAAAGTGAAAAGTCATTCTCAATCTTTCTCAGGTGCAGTCATCTAAGAACAGCAAAGGAAAATGCTACTTTTATTGCTGCATGATAGCACAGAAATTGAGCCCTTCTTTATCACATGTTACTCCTAAGCGGTAGGTTTCTTTTCCCCATTTGATAGTGACTGGAAACCAATTTTCAAGAAAGGAAAATTGAGTAATACATAACGCTTGGTCCTGTTGGTCCAGATCAGAGGGTCAGATTCTTATTTGGTGGGAACTGATAGAGCTGCTATAAAGTCAGCATAAACCAGCTTTGGGTCTGGCATTTAAAATTCAGCTCAGAAGGACGCCTTCCTAAGGCTGTTGCAAATAAACTCACAAAACAATTCTTTCCGTATTGAAAAATAATGCTCCAAATTGATTGCTTGGACCACATTCACAAACAAAATACATACATGCGCACTCACACACAAGTAAAGCATGCTACTTCTAGTAAGAAGTCAATAGTTTTTCCTGGTCTATTTGTAAAATCAAGCCTATTAACTCAAACTCTCCCAATCTCTCTCTCCTAAACATTTGAGAAGGGGCAATAGGGAAGGTAAACAGCCTTATCTGTTTCCATTACAGAGGAATGAAAAAACAGTTGGGTTCTACTTTACACACTGATTTCATAATGTACTTGTTTGAAAGCCCGCAAATTGTTTAGTAAATACAATTAATTTCTGGAAAATCAAAATACCATCTCTCATTCCTGAGGTACTCTGGAAAAAACAGTGAGGAGACAACAATATATCCATATTAAGTGTATTTAAAAATAAGGGCCTTTGTCTTTCACATTATTAGATAAACTATTTTGCATTAAAGGGTTTTTTTCATGTGGGTTAAAAGAATTTAAAATGCATGTAATCTGAAACTAAATAATTAACTACAATCCGGTAGGCAAACATTCCACCCTCTCTTTTTTTTTGCTCTCCCTCTCTTTTTCTGCTAACAAGCCACCCAGTTTTACTTTCTTGCCTCCTCCCATTCACTCCACCCTGTGGATCTCTGCCAAGTCAGTCCAACTTGTCCAAACAGGACATGGCTTTTGATAAGATTTTGCTCACACCCTGTATTTCAGAAAGACAAATGAAGCAATTGGGGTTTGTATGCAAATGAGGACAGGTGCAAGGTAAAGTCCAGGCAAAGTCCCCCACTATTTTCCTATCTGAAGTCCAAAGACGGCAAGCCAGAAAAAACACAAACTCTGCCATTATGATCCAGTATGCAGCGAAGTATCCCTTCCAGGAGGGAAGTTCATCATTGGTAGAGCTCACCACCTTGTCGGGATTGAAGACTTCTTGATATTAACTTCCTGACAGGTATGGTTTACTGTTTCAGAGATATAATTAAGAGCAAATGAAAGCTTAAAGAAGGTACTTAACGTGTATTCTGACAACAAGGACTTGTACAGATTATTTACCCTGGATGAAATGAGCAAAGCAGTTAAAGAATGCAGCCAGATTACACATCTGCACCGTACAGCAGCTGGAGAAGAGAAACTGCATTGCAGCTACTACTCCCATCAGCTCTGTACATCTACCTTCAAGGTCTGTCAACTCTGCAGACCTGTTATGAAAGGAAAGGGTGGGGTGGAGGGACAGTTTTGACTGTTCACATCCAACAATTACAAAGCCTCCCCCTAACATAGAGCCTCTGCTCTCATTAAATACTCTGGAAGAGCAGTCAGTAACCTGACAGATACTCTTCTTGGGGACCAGAAGGGGTGGTGACCATAAATTCTGCCTCTCTTCACCCTGCATGAAAGCGTGCATGGGGTTTGCTTTCTCAATCTTTGTGCCTGGGGGAAGCAAGAAATGCTGCCCTGTGGTACAGTGAAGCTCTGTCTAGAAGCTTCAAGGTATGATTGTTACTGTTGGTATAATTACAGAACAATGTAATGATATCTGCTAAATTAGCGCTGTGTGAGTACCCTCTGCAAAGACACTGCAGCTCTTGCAGCACTGTTGGCATCTAGCAGCCAACCTAAGTCATGTGGCCAAAGCTCTTCAGTCCAAGCCCTTTGGGACTTATGCTGTTGCTCTGAAACTTTTACTTCTTCTGTGAGCCTCGAGTCAAACTTCCCCGATAGTAAGGAGAAGTGATAATGTCAGAAGACTCTCCACTGATGAAATCCAAAGTGTGGGAAGGTTTTCTTAACTTGGGTGAGAAGTCTTCTTCAGCGGAACCTTGAAGGAGAGCTTGACAGAGAAAAACCAGTTTCTGAGAGCAGGATTCCCTGGAAAAGGTAGAAAAAGCTTTCCACAACTAGTAACAAGATGTGTTTGCACTGACTGTACCAGTTGCTCATCAAGACCCGAGTCAGCAAAAAAGTGTTTCTGAAGTTCCATTAACTTTAATGGGAAGTAAGCAAGCGCTTAACTGCACTGGGCCCCAAAATAGCAGCAGGCAAAGAAACTCTCCAGCTCAGCACAGCAGTCACATTCAGTCAAAGTGAGCAAGAGCAGGGGAAGGAGCAAAGGCCCAGACATGGTGCTGGGGGAAGGGACCAGAGCAGCCAGTCCCCAAAGAACAGAGCAGGGGAAGAATCATGAAGAACTAGTACACCAAGAAAATGTTTTACTGATTGACAGCCTTCTGTGTCTGTTTATTCACTGGATTTCCACTGGTAAACGGCAGTAACTGTTGAAAAAGCTAGGATATCATGTAAAAAGAAAATGGTACCTGGGAAAAAAATTTCTGCTGAAACTTTTACTTGATAGGCACGAAGAAAAAGAATATTTCTACAGGATTCTGCTATTTAGTATTTCAGACTATTTTTGCTTTCTATTGACTTGAGAATCTTTTACCTTCCTCCTTTCAGAACTGCAAGCAGGCTGAAAAATCTGGGGGTTTTGCACAACTTGTGCATCCTAACTTTGCTGATGTCACTTTGTTTGACTTAGAACTGCTCTGACGTAATAACTTATCAGCTGTGTAGCAGACTAATCGGTATTTCCATTGAATTTATAATAATACTGTTGGAGGCTCTTTGAAGCCACATGCCTGGAAATGGTTTTCTTGTATGTAAAAGTTTTGGGAAAAAAAGAAGTCCTTGCAGTGCTCACTAAGAAAATGTCTTCTCTACCAAGGAAAAATGGAGCCCACGTAAACACTGTTCAACTTTCAATTCTACATTTACTGAACCTAAGGGGGAGAGAAAGAAAAGCTCTTGAGGCACCTCCATTAGACAATATTCTCCCTTATCAGGGCAGACTGTTGTCTGGTTTCCTGTCTCAAGCTACTTCTTAGAAGGAGAAACAGTCTAGTAAGGATAAAAGATCAGACTTCTGAAAACAAGTGAGGTATGTGGAATGGTATGATAATCTTTCCCTTCCAAACTGAACTTTGTTTTTTTGTTGTGTTTTTCTTAAGAGATTAGTTTTGAAGGTAATTTAAATGGAGAGATATAAATCCTATCTTTTTATTATGAGGGAAGAATGACAGAAAATGCCATTCTCTTACGTAAAGGGTTCTGCTATTTCGTGATACATACGAAACAGAGATTCAACGTTTTTGACAGTATGGGGGAGAAGAAAAAAAATCTAGTCCTAAAGAAAGGAAGTCTACATTTCTGAACAATAGCCTAAATGATTAATTTGAATGAGGATTTGAATACAGGGCAAATGTTGATGAACTGCTGCGTATCTACGGAAGTGGTGGGAAAAAAAAAAGAAAAACAAACCAGGGAGAAGAGCTGGGTAGTGTAGAGGGTACAAATGAGACGGTGATCAAAGCAGGTCAGACTCTTTAGAAGTGGAAAGTCTGTCATGCCTTCATGGATCAAGTTAGTTTGTTGGTAACACACACTGACTGCACGATAGGCAGACCACGCATTTGTTTTTTTTTCCATTCTGACTTAGTTTACTATTAAAAACCTGTTAGAGCTCTATCTTTCCATTTGGCTGATCTACACTTACACTTCCTTCCCCTGGGAGACATCCACTATGGCTACAAAACCCTCACAGGAAGCCTCAGCATCAAGTGAATGTTTAACTGGGAAGGGTTAAGTCTCTCCTAAAATCAGCTCTGCCAAACTTCATATTCCGGATTGGAAGCAACTAGCCTCGGAATGAAAACACAAAGCTTCAATGCTGACAGCATAAAAGAACTCTAAAAGACCTCCTGGTTAGCAGTGTTAATTAATATTAAAAAGTTGGTTTACAAAACTATTATAATTTTAATCTCGGCCCCTGATTTTGTAGAACTTCGGCTACAAAAAGGTGTGAACCACAAAATTTACTGCATTTATTATACACCGGTTTCCAATATTAAATGCAACACTTTTCCTCTGTCATGGGAAAAAACATTAAATATGTTTGAAATCCCGTGCAAATTAACAGTACCAGAATTAAGATATTTAATCGGGTTCTAAGGGATAAACTCATCCATGGTATTCTAAAAGTCACAGAAAAACAACTAAGTAAAAACAACCGAGAGTACAAATGAAAATGATCAATAAACAACTTACCAAAACTGTGTGGCCAAATACTTCTTGTTATCTGGATTTCTGAACAGACAAGAAACAAGTTGATGTAAGGATGTGCACATAATTCAGTAAAAAGTATTTTTTACATACAGTTAAGCCCTGAAAGAGGAAGTTTAAAGCATGTAGTTCGGATACTTCTTAAAAGATACCTGCCATGATCACAAACAGCTTACTTTTACCATACAAAAAAGCAACAGCAGGAACTAAAAGAATACTTTAAAAATGAGTGAAATAAAAAAGGGGTAAAATGAAAGGGTGGAAGTCTTCCCGTCTGTACAGCAACCATGCATATTCCGGCCCTTCAGTGACAGAGAAGAATAAACACTCCATCTTGCATTTTCATCCAGGGCCTGATTCAAAGCCCACTGAAGTTAATGCAAGTCTTTCTCTTCATTTCAATGAGCTTTGGCTTGGGTCCTTTAGCTCTTCTTCCGTCATCCGATCCAAAACAACAGAAAGATTTATGTTCTCTTTCTGAATTTCCTCTCGATGTTTATCTATGACTGCCTGCAACAGGGTGGGGGGAGAAGACAAATCTAAAAACGGGAGTAAAAAAATGTTTCTGCCCTCGAAAATGCAAAACGTGGGACAGCCATACTTATTTATTCCGAAGGAAAGTTAGCCCACAGTGCCTTATTTTCTGTATTGCATCTGGAAGACGTGAATCTTCTCGTTTGTGTGAGGAGAAAATACCTATTCCTTTCAAGATCCGGAAACACAAAGTGCTTACGGTGGGCCATTCAGGTTGGGTAAGGGCAGAAGCCAAAACCCTCTTACAAGTATGAGCCTACAGATGTGGGTTCTCTTCTCAGTGACACTCGTTTTACACCAGAGTAACTCCGTGACTTTAATGGAGCTATTCCAGATCGGCCGATGAGCAAGTGAGAGCAGAAAACTGGCTCACAACTTTCTGGAGACTCGAGTACAAGTTTTCAGCGAAGAGAGCGAAGCTTTCGAGTTCACCCCCAATAAATATATTGGAGTTGAGGGCGTTTGTTAAAGGTTAACTTGGAAACCTTGTTATGACATAACACAGGCATCTTAAGCAATCGTGAGTGTGTAGAGACATGATAACTCATTGGGTGGGGATTGGGAGTTGAGGGGCAGTGACAAGGGGCCTGGACGAGGCTACCGATCTGCCAGAAAACAGCCTGAAACAGGAAAGAGCACCACATATGCCACTTGGAATGTGTGACGCAAACCTCAGCCTTGAAACAAAGAACAGGAAACAGCTCTGCTGGCTGTGCTGGGGAGAAAGCAGAGAGAAACATTTAGGCGGCCCTCCCTGACCCTATATTCATGAGCAGCTGGAGTCTTTTAAAACAACAACAGTGGGTGGAGGTGTTTGTTCATTGGGTGTGAATAAAAACACTGTCCTTATGCAGGGGACCTGCCCTATTTACAAACAGGCTCCCTGAACATAAGGGAGCAGGAGATTTTTTTAGACACCACGGGTCATGCTGATTAGCTGAAAGTCCTTCCCTAGGACCAATTGGTTTATTACTGTATTTACAGAATGCCAGTAGCTAAACAGAGCTACAGCTTCAAGACATCAAACAGGCAGCGCCCAGCCTGGCAGTAAGCACCTTCTTCGTAGGCAGAGCTAGGGGGATCAGACCTTTGCAGGGGAGATCTGTAAAGCCAGGGCTGCTCCTGGACAGCGTCTCACTTTTGTTCAATAGCTGAGAGCCAACATCACCCAGTGCACCCAAGTTTATTCTTCTAAGCCAGCACATGCTTAGCCTTCTACATCCCTGTTTCACAGGCACTCAGACTTCATCTCAGGACCTGATTTTCCCTGAATATAGTGCTTTTATTTTTGAAGCACCCAAATATACAGCTGAATAAATGAAATAAGCTGACGACACGAGGCAGAGGAAAGGCACACTTTGTCCAGCCGTCATGCCACAGAGTATCTTCAACATTCGCTTTCCTTCAAAGCCTTGGTTTCAAGTACTCTCTCTTCTCCTACGTACTTTGCATCAGTTATTTATACACCACGGGTGGGACATCTAATATTATCCAATGTGAGAATGTGTTACGGCAAATTATGTGGACGAGTCCCAGAGTAACACTAATAATTGCTGTGGGGTTTCACAGCTCGAGTTTAACAAGACACATGAGGTGACAACCGGTTAGTACAGCATCTACACAGCAACGTCTTAGGTGCAGGTTTTATGCTGATGGTATCAGTTCCGTACTTTCTTCATACTGAATCTGGAAATGTAAGTAATTTGGTGGTTGTTTAAATCCCATCTCTATTATCTCAGAGCCTTTGACTAATCTCACTCACATTTACATCATTATTTATCCGAAGACTTTTGCTTTTGGCTAAACAGGTGTTGCCTAGGTCGAATCCTTGCAGTACCTAAGGGCTCCATCGCAGCTTCTCCTACTGAGAAGAAATTTCGCTCGGTTTCTCAGTGAAGGGAGAGACCATTTAATACCTTTTTCTTTTCCCCTGCCCTTACCCCCAGTCTCCCTTGTGGTCTGTAACTTATCTATAACAGGGCGTGCAAAGGGGAGGGGGGGGGGACAGGGGGGAGGCGGGGAAAAAAGGTATTTGCCTGCTTGGGAAAAAATAGAAAAGGCCACTCAAGTCAGCTTCAGGTTTTTTGTATTTTGATACTAGACAAAACATTCTTAAAAATACAAGAGGAAAGTTAGTCTGAAATAAATCTCTTCAGGGTCAAGCAGGATTATCAAATCCAGATGTAAAATTCCTCTCACACAAGAAGCAGCTCCTCCTGCGATTATCGAGACAGTGTATCTTAAAAGTATTCTATGGAAAAACTATCAGTGGTCAGCCATGTAATCCTCTGTTTTCAATACAGGTAATAAACATTTATGGATATTAGTTTAAATAAAGTCAAGTCTTCAAAGCTCTCCTATCAGCCGCCCAAATTCAGTTTTTCCCAACAATAAAACCTTCAGAGTTCAGCTCCACAAATAGTGACACTTCCTGAATTTTCAAAGGCAAGGAAGTAAATAAAACGCAGCAGACAGTGCAAGTACAGTACCGGAATCACCAGGGGAGTACACAAAGCAACTTCAATGTATTTTTTTTTTTTTCAGATAACTCTTGAATGACCACTTGAGCTATTCTGAAATAGGTCTTCCTCCCAAACTCTGCTTAGGTGATCTCCCAGTGCGGGTGCCTGTCGCTGAACCTTCTTTTTCCAGGGCTCCCCTAAGCTGTGCCAGGTGCTCACCTGACAAAGGTCCAAAGCAAATAACTCCCATTCCCATTTCGGCTTTAAAAAACAACACCACCCCCCGGCCCCCCAACCGGGCATCCAGAAACGGGAAGCAGATTGCCGTCGTTATTTCTAACTCCACACTTCGCTGCCGTGCTGTCCTACGCGCCACGCGTTTTAACTTCGCCTACATCGCAGCCAAGCGGTGCTAGGGCTCGATGACAGTACGAGGGGCACGTTTTCGAGAGCCGGCCTCATCCCTGACTTCCCCGGGAGTTAAACCGGGG